TTTTGAAAGTGAAAATTTATTTTATTTGTTTATGATATTTTTGAGAGTTTTCCTATATTTTATTATCTATAATTTCACACTTAATCGGTTTAATTTACATCAAATTATATTAGTTTTGTTTACAAGCAGCCTAACCAAGTTGTTTTTGTTTTGAGATTTTAAACAAAATTTTGAATCTTCATTTATCAATTTCTTTATCTCAGGACATCGTTTTATTTATTTATTTTCCTTCGTTTTATCATTTGGTGGTCACCAATCGAAGCTTTTAGACTGGAAATTTGGAGTTATGGAATTGATATTGCTTTTTTTTTTGTAAAATAAATGAGTCTTTTCTTTACCTTGTATAGGAAGGTAACCCTTCTCTCTAAGTAGAGGGAAAGCGGCAAAAGCACAAACCGAGGCCACACTAGTAGTCCTCAACACCACTCTTGGAACTCCAACCTCTTTTGCCGCAACCTCCATATTCTTCCCCCAATTAGCGTCGGAGACCAACCAACACACCGTCTCTCCTCCGCTAGAGACTTACGAAACGGCTCGGCGTAACTTTGTTTCATCACACGAATGAGGGCGAAGAGGTCCATAGCCCGAACCTCTTGTTGAGACAGAGGGTCCTGTTCTTCTCCTTCTTTGTTGTGATGGATGGTTCGGAAAGTGAAGCGTGGGTGGCGAGATGGATCGGGAGAGTTGAAAGAAGTGTGGAGGATCGTGACGGAGAAGCCACGGTGGTGGAATATTCCGGCGAGCTCGATCATAGGGTTCAAGTGTCCGGTCAATGGTAAAGGGAACATGATTATCCTCCTCTCTCTCCTCTCTTCCATTTCTTTCTTCCTCATTTGGTTTCTTGAAAAAAAAATTATTTTGTGGATTTGTTGTTGGTGCTTAGTTCCCACTAGAAAAGGAGTCGTGGAGACTAATTTATACAACAAATATGCAAAATAATATTTTGGCATTGCTTTTAATAAATTTCCCCCACCGTCGTCGATTATTGTGTGTGTGGTAGATTGAGATAAGTAAAGTTTACAATATGTGGTTTTAGCAATATGTTCATGCTAAGCACTATATATATATATA